TATTAGGTGAAAAAACATTTTCCACCATTTGTGCATCAAAGGGTTGTACCTAGAAAAGGGGAGGAAAACATTTTCGGTCGAAAATTTCGCATATCAAACAGTCAAAAAAGTGGAAGTAGGAAAATATTTTCCTACTTCCATGGAAAACTACACGAATCAAACAGACCCTTAATGTTTTCTAAAGTTATTATTATATATCACTCTTGATATAATTGTCTATTTGAACTTGGAAATGATGAATTGTCTATTTGAATGTGGAAGTGAGTTGGTGAGGCAACTTCGTATGAGAATTGAGCTAATTCTCTAGAGTACTCATAAGAGCTATAGAAGTTCATGGTTAGAATGAACATTGTACTATTATCTTAGTTTGGAACTATAATTGTAGAGTTTGAGACATAATTCCCGTTTGATCCCATTACATGCAAATTCAAAAAAAAATTCATTTTTTAATCACACATTCTCCAAAAATTACTATTCATCTCATTATAATATGGAATAATGGGAGCCAAACGGACGCATAGTTCACTTTACAGTTGGTAAACTCAATAAAATATAAAGTTAAGGTTCAAGTCAAATGACACCTAAACAACATGATTTGTTTTGTACTCTAGAAGCACATTTATATTTATTTTATTTGTTTCACGTGGATATTGTTAAAAATATTATATATATAATTTATTCCAAAAAAAAAAAAAAATTAAATTGGGATGGTTGTGTGTTAAAATTTGTGAAAATTATGCGGAAGGTTGACGGTTCAAACCTTTTAGCAAAGCGAATATTTAATATTCTATGATTGGTGCCTTGGACTATTGATTTTCTTTGGTAAAAACAAGTTTTTTATTTATTTTAAATATTTTAAGATTTATTTCTATCAAATTAGCAGATAAAAACTAGCCAGTGAAGTAAAACTGTTTGAAGGCAGTTACTGAATGATTTAGTGAAATAATAGAACGATAATCTTTTTTATTAAATTCTAAATTATTAGTGGAAGTTATAAGTAGTGGCTATATATATACTTCTTCTTTTCCTTGGAAAAAGACATTGATATAATTTCATCTTACGTACTTTTATGCCAAATCGTGCCATCACGAATCTCAATCATTCGACAAGTCTTCATACTTTCTACATTTTATTGTTAAAATAGAAAAGATAACTACAACTAATTTTTCAAGACTCTTGACACTTACAAGGGAAGTTAGTCCATACCAAGGCTGGCTCTGAGGCGAGGCAGATGAGGCTCGTGCCTCAGGCCCAAAACTGAAGGGGGCCTCATTTTTGGGGCTACTTTTTTTTTTTGGTCCGGTCCAAAATCAGAGGGCCTCAATTTTGGCCCAATTATTATTTTTTTTGAATACTAAACGAATCTTGGAAGACAGCCTATCTCCTCCCCTTTCAACTCCAATCGATTCTTCACGCCGCGCCGACGCCGGACTCCTGTCTCTCCCCTCTCCTTCCTTTTGTTTTCCTCCCTTCCTTTCCCTCCATTCGAAGGCTTTATTCTTTCATAAAAGAAGCCTAATCACGCCATCAGCAAGATTGCGAGTCGCTCTTCGAGGTCGACCGTTGGCTGGTCGGTACTGTGCGTCTGCTAGTACTTCTGCCCGTTTCATAGTCACCCAATTTGATGGGTTCATACCTTTAAATACCTTCTACTTTCTTCTCCTATTTTCTTCTCTAATTTATGTAATTTTTAGCATTTCTTGACAAAACCTTCAATTTTTCTGTATTGTTTTATAGTTTTTGTTAATTGGTTCAATTGTTAATTAAAATGTACTCAATTTCGCCTCCCAAGTATGAAGTATGTTCCTTTTATTTTCAGTCCATTGCACTTCATTTTCACTTGTATTGGGTGCATTTTTGTTTATGTTTAACTTCAAGCCTATTGCAGCCCCTCCATTGACACTGCAGTCTGCCCTTTTATAGTTTCTGTTAACTGCATTTTCACTCAATTTTCATGCCTATTGCAGCCCCTTCGTGTTCAATTACTTGGTTTATTGATACAACTTACTGTGGGTAGTCTGACATGCTTTTACAATGTTAGACGATTATTTGACTAATTTTAAGAGGGCAAAACGTTTTTTAACCTTTTATTGATTAAAAGGGGTAAATTTCATAGCTTAAGACTTTATATTAGTGCCGTGGTTAGTGTGAAATTTTGATTTTAGGCTTGTGAGATGTGACAGTGGAATTCTCAAGGGTATAATTCCATAATTTTGAAAGCCCAAGATTGGCTAACCAAGAGGGTGGTGAATTGGTTATTAAATCTTTTTTGTTAATAACTCAAGTTTTAATATGATAAACAAGCAAATAATAGAAGACAACTAAACATAAAAAAGCAAGCAAGTGGAACAACGTAATTTGCACAAAGTAAAAACGTTAAGTAGAAGGGATAGAGAGTGCAAACAATATATTTATAGAGATTCGATCCAATACAATGATCTGTGTTCCCCGTTACCAAGCTCTCCGGCACGAGTAAGGCCTTTTTCATTATGTTGATTGACTTATGGTATAATCTAATCCTCTACAAAGATTCCAGTGACTTACAACCAAAGAGCACCGATACTTTTACAACGTTGAGCTTTACGGGACTTCAACACGATCCACAAGTTTGAATTTACAATTTGGAACTTTTCCTCTCAATAAATGATATCTTCAAAGTAAAGTACAATGAGAGAAAAATAAGCAAACACTTTAATAGATGACAATGAGTATAGCTCAAAGTGTTGGATCAAAAAACTTTTATTGAAATAAAGTAGTTGAGATCAATAAAAGGCTTCTCTTTTATGCTCAAGAAAAAGTTGTTGCAAATGAAGAATGAGAGAGGTATTTATAGCACTCAAATAGTCAAAAGTTTTTGTCATCCGGACACGGCATTCGGACATCCGGATAGAACTAGCCGTTTGAGTTTGCAACGGTCAAAAAGGTGACTATTGCACATCCAGACGTCCGGATGATGATCCAGACGTCCGGATGATGATCCGGACTTCCGGTTGGGCACAATTTGCCCCTCGGACGGTCTCCTTCGTGACAATTTGATCAATGTAGGCTTTTGAAGGACTACCTCATTCAGTATTTTCATGGTAAGTAATTTAGTAAAAATCTATACATTGAGTAAAAATACTTACCTTTAAAATTTTTTTATGCAATCATTTATATTTTTGAAAAAAAAATTGCTTTGAGCTTTTAATGATCCATTGCCAAATATTGAAGAATTTTACCTTTACACATATGCAAGGTATCTACGTGTAATATCTCGATATTTGACATTCGACTATTTCTCCGTGAGCTCTTGACTTTCGTCTTTACGTTCATTTGTTTGCCAATCTTGTTTCCATGTTGATTGTCAAATAGCAATTCTCGTGATCTTGATCTTTGTGTCTTCAATCTTATTGATATAGCAATGATCGCTGTAAAACACTTGAATACAATTTGTTGGAGATAAATGTAATTTATTTGTGATAATCAAAACGAGAAGTCAACCATAGTTCAACAATGTTTACCATTTTGATTATGACAAACACGATAATTTGCAATACAAATTGATATGAAATTTTAGCATATGTCCCCTCCTATCAACATACATATAACGGTTATGTTCCCCCTGTCAACATGCATATAACAATTTATATATTTCCTTGTTTTACTTTCCCTTTATCAGCATAATTATCCACATTTATCTCTCCCCTTTTGACATAAGCAAAAAGAAATAACAATCAAATGATCGACTTAAAATTAGGAGATTAATTCAAAATATAGCAACGAGTTTAACTAGAGAA